AAAAAATAATAACTATAGTAAGGAAAACACTGAAAAATGCATTTTGTAGTTGTAAATGTATAAATAATCGTAATAGAATAATAATTGATAGAAAAAAAATGTAGTTTTATTTGCACTTTACCTTTGAGGATAGACGACGGTGGAGGTGTAAACTGGTGGCGGAAGAGAGGGAGAAGGGAAATGGTACTAAAACTTAACTTACATAATGTAACAATAACTTAACACTCATTTTTTAAAATCTTTGTTTTATTTTTTTTGTTTAATATTATTGGGTAGGTATACACTTGCATTAAATTAATATTCAGATACTAAATGTTTAGGTTCCCATGAGTCAAGTTATTAAACTTAATAGTCCAATAAATGACATCCTAATCCTGAGCGCTAATGAATGCAAATAGTTTGTATCCCATATCAGTTTATTCAGGAAAACACCTTACAACGAGTAGCACTTCCAGCGATCACAAATTACTGTTAGTGAAATAAAATTACTTCTCGTTGGCCAGACAATATCTAATAATCTCCTTAGTGAAACGAAACCAACTTCAATTTTTCCGCCCAAACTGATCTTATATATGCACTACAGCGGTCGGCAATCAACCAATCAGTCTCCACTCATCTGTAGCTCTATTTCAGGTTAGCATATCCTTTCAACTATGGAAAGTTTGACGGATGAACTTTGTGAGTTAGACAATGATTAGGAGCAAAGTGCAAATGTAAAAAGGAGCATCATCACATCCATTTGACCATATTCCAAAATTATTTATGAAAGAAAAAAAATCTAAACAATTACAAATGGATACTTTTTCCAAAAAATGTAAGAGATCCAAAACTTTGAAATAGCATTTGTTTTTCTTAAGATTTTTTAATTAATAAAAATATTTCATTTTATTTTATCATAAAATACATGTAAAAAAATTAAATTTATAATATAATATATATATTTTGTATTATATTGTATTAATAAACAAAATTATTTGCTTATTTTTCACTTATGTAGAACCTAACCCTATACCTTTGTAAATATGGGTTTGTTTTATGCCGATTCGATTTGTGCTGGCTTTTGTAGGAATGGAACTGTGGCATAAACCGAGGGCTACCTGTACCGTATTAATACTGTACAAAATTAATAAATCAGTGTTTGACATGGCCTATTAAAACAGCAGATCTATAC